TTTTTTGTTTGCTCAAAGCCCATGTGAGCATAAGATAATGGGATTTGGAGTTAGGCAATCTTGATTCAAATCCTGGTTCTAAATCATACTCCCTTTGTGATCTCAGAAAAGTTAGCTACTTAGAATGTGGGTTTCACGTCCCTGACAAAGGCACAGCTAGCTCAGAGGGCTGTCAGGACAATCGAGATGGCACAGGCAGATCCCTAATGTCCAGAAGATATTGTCAGCAGAAGGCAGTGATTCCGGAAGTGTAGTCTGGGAATTTCCTGGGGTCCTCAAGACACTTTTAGGGGGCCCATGAGCTCAAAGCTATTTTCATGTTAATACTAGAAATTATTTCCATTGTTCACAGGATTGCAATAGGGCACCCCATAGGCTCCAGAACCCATACATCAGAGTATGCAAAAGCCACGATGAGAATCCAGTTGCCTTCCATTGTGCCAGAGTAAAGCAATAGTTTCCAAATTTTGCTCTGCATTGCAAATCCTTTGTAAATCTTTTTTTAAAAAAAGACTGATGCCTGGCTCTCACCACATTCAGATCCAGTTGGCTTGTGTTTGCATTTGGTGAACAGGAATTTATGAAAGTTCCTCAGATGATTTGAATATTCAGTTGAGTCTAGGAACCAGTGCATTAAAGAGCTTACTGAAAACAGAAATCAATATCATCCTCCCTACTAATTATTTTATTTTGAAAAGTATACTTTAGGAAAAATTTTATTTGTACTAATGTGTAAAGACTCCTTTATAATTTTTAATAAAGTGATCCTGAGACCAAAAACCTTAGCAGAGATTGGTTTACAGATTAAGACCTCTACACTCTGCAGCCAGACTACCACTGAAAGCTTTGTGACTTTGAGAAAATTACATACTTTTTCTGTTCTTCAGCTTCCTTGTTTGGGTATAATATTAAAATTGACTTCTTTGGTGAGACAAAATGAGCAACGGGTGAAGCATGCTAAGTTCTAGCATAAAGCCTGGAGCAACACAGTGGCTCAATAAATATTTATTTTCTTTGTTTTTATCGTTCCCATTCTAGTTGGTCAGCTTACTGCACAGATGATCTTTCAGCATCCACATATATTTTGTGGGCCAAACCGTTTTTGCCTCTAACTCATCTTCCCGCAAAACAAAGTAGGAATCACGGGACAGAACCTTAGAGAAACTGGCAGATTTTTCTGAATCAGAAAAGTGAGAGAACTTGGTCACCCTGACCTGGGGCTTTGGTTTGAACCTTGGCTTGTCCTGGGGCAACAGCACTCTGCTGTCCTGTAGGTGAAAGAATGCACGAAGGACAGCTGAAGGCACCGAGGTGTGGACAGGGGAGATGCCCTGGCCAAGAGGCAGGTAGTGTTTGAGTGCCAACGGGTCCTCACCCCCACCCTCCCTGTGAGTCACAGAGTTAGCAGCCTGAAGATTTTACGTTCCTTTGGGGCAGAGCTCATCTCTCAGAAATATCGCAACACATTTTATTCTCACAGTGCTAGAAACGACAGTCCTAAAAGTCATGATCTTCTTCTGAGTGGAATCCACAAACTGAGATAGGCAGAGAAATGAGTAATTCGATAACGTTGAGGATCATCAACATGGTGAATATTCCCTGAAACACAGAAGATAAAGAAGAGTCATCGTATTAGCATATTATTTTTTTCTGATTAGAATGAGGCAGT